AATATTGACAATATTTCATAAAAGCATAGAAGTACATTCAATTCAGTCAAAGTGAAACTGTTGAACAAAAAAATATGCTGTGGACATCGAATATCGTTGACAACTTCTTATATCTATAAACTAGATAATTCACATAGAAAATAAACACGACTTCTGAATTTACCATTATATGTTCATCAGGTAAGGCGTAACGATTAAAGTTAGCTTAATCCTTAAAAATGTAGGTTTCAAGCTTTCACAAAACACCAATTAACTTAGCAAAATCATCTCTCTGCGCCTTGGCGAAGCTAGCAAAGAAACAGGAGGCAAGTCTCTGACCTGGAATAAGATACACACCATGGTGTTCTACTGTGATCATGCCAAAGCGTACGAGACATACGGTCATCCAGTCTGATTTGTGCTTCATTTTACTGTATTTGCACTGACTCATCGGATAGCTGCTTAAAATAATGAGCAAAAGGTGTCAACCATGTTCAAAATATTTTTATAGACAAAACATAAAAATCATACTGAGCTCTGATACGCTTTTAAAAAACATAAAAACGAGCTGATAAACACTAGTGAATCCTACACCATTTGTGCAGGAAAACAGCAGAAAATACTTACTATCAAAGTTATCGAAATATGAAAAATTTCTGCTTATTATCATATAGGATAAGCACCAGCAGTCAGCAATATAAATAAGCTAATATTTTACAGGAAAGTTTTTTCTAACAATTAATGAATGAAACGTTCCATGCTACAATAAAGCAATGTGAATCAACATTCTCTGATGTCAAAAGAGTTCGAAGTAATTCATTATCAATTTCTAATGTGAAATATGTCCCTTCTATATCTGACTGAAGGTATATTCTCTCATAAACAGTAATGACACTTCGAACTACCCTTTCAAAACACGCCGTTCACTTCTGCAAAACGATGGCTTTAAACGCGACACGAAATTCACCATTTAATCTGACGTTCCCGTTTTCAGTACAATGGCAATCGCAAAGGATCTTTCAAACAATAATACTCATTTTTGGCCACGAATCCGTCTTTGCAATCCTAAAACGCTACAAAAGGAAGCACTGAACGCCGGAACGGACCAACTTCCAATGGAGAAGGGAAGTGATATCTGAATGGTAAACTTCCATGTTCTCGTTGAGGGCAAAAAGCTGGAAGTCAGATTTATGGATGGGCAACAACTTAAGGAAAATAATGGACAAACGCGCTGGAGAATTAGGAATGAGAAAGCCCTGCAAATGACGTTGAAGTCGTGTTCTTGCTTTGCTTAATTTAAGTCAGCTGCATTATCAAACTATTGATGAATGGTAAAAAAAAATTTTTGGATAACCCGGCACGTCGAGAATTACTCCTACTTACATGACGACAAACATGCGTCAAAAGCAAGAGCTATACACAACCATGTCAATGATAATTTTCTAATGGCTTTAGTTTCCTCCCGGTGATCTGAAGACCAATGTCGACAATGATCACAGCCGCTAGCCTACGATGTTCGTAATTCACAGATCAGGAGTGACAAATGACAATGTATTACGACTTGTTGACTTTTATCGACGAAACAGCAGATCCGCGAGACCTAATGGGCATCGTCAAATGGATCACAGATGTCACAGTTAAATAATTCACGTAGTAGAAAATATTGGCACGCAAAACTGATAGAGTGCGTTGCTCGATGCCCACTACAGTCGCGAGACCTGCACTGCCAAGGCCATTAAATGGTCATCGCAGACCTCTGCCTCAAACTGGCAAAGTGAAACGGATGAATCGAATTGGAACAGCATTATGCCCCTGACGAGATGTACTGCAAATGATGCAACTAAAAGAGCAAGAAAATATTCCAATGAAGCAGGTCCAAAGTCTGAACCACTTCGCAGAAGCTCATATGAAAAACCGGATAGGAGATTCCGGACAACGTATTCGGAAAATAGGACATCGTAACAGTAGCACCAACATTCAAATTCATTGAAAAATCTGGTTTCTAAATCACATGTGGTTTCTCTTACAGACACAAAAGAACAAAACAAAAAAGTTTACCTGCAACCCGAGAGCACTGATTCGAAAAGGCCAGAGAAACCGCAACTAACAGGCACATTTGTGTTAGGGCGCGTCACAAAGATACATCAAAAGTTCTCAGAGACAGAACACTGGTACCGATCGATCACATGATGCAAGACAACTGAGCCTCATAGCTCGTCATTAACGAATAACGAAATATCGATAGCCAACATATCACATTACAGAGAACTAAATGCAAATTTGCAATGAACCGGCCTTTTTCGACGCCCCATCAACACCTTCAAAAATTTGAATAAAAAATGATTAGATGAGCAGACATCACGAAGCTTAAGGAGGATACATTTCTGAAAAGCAGTTAAAGATGAGGACCAACAAAAATGAAAAAAGAAACTTTACAAGTACATTCTGTACAAGAACAGCAGAAAGACGTCAAGAAGTAAAACACCTTTTCAAAATTATGCTACTCAGTTCTGGATGCATTGCAATGACGTCTCGGAATTGATCGTTCGAAACAATGGCTCCTCCAAATTCGAAAGCACAATTAATGACGAAACTAAAAATTGGTCAATTACACAATGGCAAGTTATGTGATCAACTTACAGGTCATCGTAACATTTCATTGTTTTCTTTTTCCCATTACAAAAAATTTTCCGTGATGGAGTAAACGATAGCAGTCTTTCTTTAGCCATCCAATGCAGGGTGTTCTTGTAAGACTGAGACAAGTCCGAATAACGGGATATAATACTATTTGGCACGAATGTAAAGACATCATAGCCTCGTTCAAGAAAATATCGGACGCAAATCAATATTCCTTCGAGATCGTAGGTTCTGTGTCGTCCGAAGCTTAAAACATTATTTAACGCAATTCGTCAAGAACCAAATACGCTAGAAGTTGACAAAATGTGGGCAAGAGTAACGCATCAGTGACAAACTATGAGTTTTCAAATGCACCATGTCTACAAAATGTTGACGTCAAACACGCCAATCAAGTACAGAATAGAATAAGAACATAATTCTAAATGCTTTCTTTTAATATTGAATTCGCTTCCACAATTTGCACATGCTGTCAATGATCTTTCCTGACACGAGTGAAGCAGTATCTTCCCAGAAGCAAAATATGAGTCGAACTTTGCAATCAGGATTGCAAGGCTACCTCGCCTAACCCTCGCTTACTGAACAAGTTTTCTCAAACCAGTTCAACAAGAAATTATGTCAACGATATCTACTCATTCATAAAAGAGTTTAGCATAGTTTATAAACAGATTACGAATGGGCAGTTTGCTTTCTACTTCCATGACGGACTTTTCAAGCGAATCAGAGGAGCGCCCATGAACAATCAACTCCTTTCTCTAAATCCTTATAGATTGTTTCATAGAACACTGAAAGTGACCCTCGTACTGAATAATAACTTTTCCATGCCTGTTCTAAAAAGACACGTTCATAACGCCTCTGCCATGTCCCGAAAGTGAGGAAATAAAAACGAAATTACACCTCAAACTGCACAAGAGAGAACAACGGCGACAGATTATTAACGGTAATAGTGGAAAAGTTAAGAGAAGCAGCATAAGTCAGACTTGAAATTGAAACGAACGAAACCAGAATAGAGACGGATCCCGTTTGTTTAGCAGAAATGAATAAAAATAGGCAAATATGATTAACTTACCTCATTGCCACGTTGCTGCCATCAATAAAAATGGGTCTCATACGAGGAGTAGAACTGACGGTGCCAGCGACATCTGAAAATAAACATTCAGACTTAGTTCCACCATCATCCGATCCAATATCCTACAATTTTGTTCCTCACAGTTCTTCCTGCGGGGTATCTCATAAGTACAAGATCCATTTGTATGCGTCTGAAGTGGTAGACCATCGAACCGACAACTTGGCTCGGGGGATGCGGAACGAACAGAGTCCACGCCAGTGCAATTCTACATTAGAACGTAATCGAAACTTAAGCAAAACCACTTTGTAATGATATTTACAGGAAAACGGGAACCCAATGAATCTGGCCTTAGTAGAGCTCGACTGTCGTCAAAAAAGGGCTGCTGCTGAGGATGTGTGACCAGAGCAGATTTTTTATCCACAGATTCGCGCTCGAAGGTGATCTGAAGCTCTCTGCAGTTTCTAGTAGGCAGGTAGTGCGTGACGTCGTGTTGATGCCATTGCAGCCAACGCAGCAATAATTTTTTGACTTCGAAATGGAGCTTCTTATAGAAGTCACTTAAGGAATTGATCAAGGCGAACGCATCTCGTTCAAGATCAGATTCAGGAGGAGGAGAGGCACAAGCCTTGCCCACAGTTGTCCGACACGCAAATGCATCTTCAGCGCTTTTGATATCTGACAACACTTCAGAACAAGAAGCTCGGTCGCCCTCGATCGTTAGGTCAGTGCCGGAAGTACAGCAAACAATGCGGACAAGATGACTTCTTGCCAGAACTTTGCACCAAAACTGATTCGAAGTAGTAAGTAATTCGAAAGATTCACGAGTCAACGAAACATGCTGGCGATATTCCGGACTGATACAAGCACGTAGGTATGTCTAAAACGCATCATTACGCTTAATGACTTATTTTTACAGTGCATTCAAACAATTAGATCGATGGAATACCACTGCGTTCGAGCAAACGAACCATTTTCAACAAACATTCTAAATGAACATCAGGCAGAAACGTATATTTCAGTTTACTTCTGATGACGACTCGGCTCAGGAAAACAAATGAATTTTTCAGGAGAAACAAAACAGCTAGATCACAATATATGGGATTATGAAAAAAACATTAAATATTCCTAACATTGGAAGAATAAAATCATATGCCTAGTTAACACAACATAGCAGGCAAATTCACCAGTTACCTGCTACAATGTCAAACAAGATTGAATCCAATGCAACCGACAGCGACAGCAATCACGAAAAAACAGCGTGACCACCATAGCGCAGCAAATTGTTCATCTATTTTCGGGTCACGGAAGCAACTCAGTTAAGAAACCTTTCGAATGGTCCTGATTTATCGCTCAACTACCAATATCTATGGTCTGCATTCCAAGATTCGAAAATGCGCGTTTTCCGTATAATCGAGCCAACTGGTCCCTGATCTGCACTGGGCCGTTTGCGGAGACTGTTTAAAGAGTTCATTTTGAGACCTCTCGTGGCATCCTCGCCACATGTATATCCCAACGATTACTACTTCCCAACGACGCTAAACGTAACTCGTTCAAGCAAACCCTCATGTTTCTTTACGATGTTGTTTTATCAGTTGCCAGCAAATATCCTGTGTACCTCCTCGCCCAGTGAAAGCCGTAAAATTCGTACCAATGAACTTTCGTCATCGACGCACTGAATAACAAGACAAGGCATGGATTAGCTCACTTATCACTTAAAACTGGCGTTCAAATTTTATATTTTTAAAACAGAGTAGCAGGTGCTTCTTACCAGAAGTTTCTAAACAATTCTTGTCGAAGTTTATAAATCAGTATTACGTTCAAATAAGTTTTATAATTTGTTAATAAGCTTAGTACGAAATCAGGAAATGCGCAACCAAAATTATGATTTTGCCGCATGATCTACAGCGATCACCAATCTTAAGCTAGCCTTCCCTGTAGCAGACGGCATTCCGTTTGGTTAAAGATCATTAATCTGCAAGTTTAGGTTCAGTAGATTAGAACATGAACTCCAAAGCACTCAAAAAATGGTAATTCCAAGAGCTCTGGGTTACAGTGTCTTGACATGTTTGATTAGCAAAATTTGTATTATGCCAACTAATCACAGTTCTTATTTTGCTGGGTATGAGCTCCATTGTGACGCTTCCTCTTTTTACAACTGGTTTCCTTTCTAGAGAGTTTTGTTCGCATTCTACGGTACGGCGTTATTTTTAAATACGATTATAATAATAGAGCAGTCATCTTTTCTTCTTCGGTGCTGAAATCATGTTCCTATATTCTGTTTCCGAACCTTTTCCGAGTTAAGTGATTGCCCTCTCGCCCACATGGCATACAATTTCGGCTTTAATTCATTAGAGCAAAATATTTTCTTGTGAATCAGGTTAAACCGTCCATTGGGAGAACTGTATAGGTCCTTACACTCAATTTGTTGTTCTTCGCATTATCGGTTGACAAAACTTTAATAACACAGTAGCTGATCATATTTAACGCTGAAAAATGGCAAATATCTGACATGGTCGAAAAATTACAGACCAGAAATTCAAGAATCAGTCCGTTATACGACTTGTCCTCGTTACTGGTGTGTTAAGGACACAAGTTCACGCTCCTCCAACATTCTTTATTTTCCGTTTTGTGCTTCCACCGCTGTCCAGGACCAAGATATTTGACTATCGGTACATCTCAGTGTGTTCTTGGACAACTGACCCGACGTTGCTAGTTCAGCGGAACGCAGTTTGTAATTCTTGACGTCCATCGGCTGTCTCTCACATGAGCCACACGACTGGACAAGTAACTTCTCTTGGCGTCGTAGAAGGCAAAAATCTCGTCTGCTAATCCAGTCGGTGGTTGAATTCGTATCAACGCAATGTGATAAACAACTTGCATATTTTTCGTTTCATCGCTTTCTGCGTGACCATCAGTTAGTTCTTGTCAGCCTTAGTAGGAGACTAACATTCAGCAAAGTAGAACAGTAGGTAAAACGGTTGAATCGCATAGTTCTTCGTTGTCCGCACTGGCAACTCACTGTCGAGTTTAAAACGAATAAAACTGGCCCATGCCCCTTTCCTCTTTGATTTTCCCATCTAGCGAGTTCCTGACGCCCACTTGACGGCCAAGGTATCCAAAGCTGGTGACTTCTTTCAGTTCTTCACACTTCGCTTAGACAGAGCCCCGTGGAACAGTGCTCTTTTCCTACCCATTTCGTCTTGCACTTGTTAACTTTCAATCCGATGGTGAGAGATTCTTCTTGCAATTGCTGGATCTTTTGTTGGTACGCATTCGTACCTTGTGCGAAAACGATGCAATCGTCTGCAAATAATAAGTGCGTTAGCTGCTTTTCATCAATATTACTGCCGCAGAGAAGACCGCCGGTGGGCAAATAACTCCTCTTTCCTCTAAGGAATTTAAGGCAATATGATATGTATGATGTCATTCGTGCAATCGGGTTCAATTTCTCGATTAGGCCGGCATAAACAGAGTTTATAACATATTAATGATAAGCTTTCAGATAAACGTCAGTTGTGTCGAAGAAAACGCCTTCCTCTAGTCGATGAAAGCAAAACAGGCAGTCACTTGATGCTCATCGCACTTCTCCATCAGCTGCTGGATGGCATGGTTTATGGGGACAGATAGAAAACCCTTAAAAAACCGGCCTGTTCCCAACTTGACATTATATCGAGGTCATTCCTAAAGGTATGAAACGGATGAAGACTTCGTAAATTTGTGACACGAGTACAACTGATCGATAGTTCTTGAGGTCCACAGAGTAATCTTTCTTCATGAGAAGAATCGATTTTTATGTTTTCCGTACTTTAGAAGTCTTGTTTTGCATGAATATTCCATAAAACGTTTGGCAAGCTCTTCAAACAGAGTCGTTCTTCTTGCTTTAAGATTCCTTTGTCTTATACCCTTTTTGTTCAAACATTTGCCATTGTTGATGTTTCTGATTGTCCCTCAACAACTTCTGGAGCAACGTAGAGCAACTTTCGCCTACTCTGCAAGGGTACAAGTATTGTAGAGCTTTGTGCAGATCACATTCACCTGATCGAGATTACAAGTTCTTGCTCTTCCTTAATCTTTCAGCGCACTAGGGTCCGTTGTTTTAGGTTAATAATTGCATCCATAGCTTTCAGACTTTTCTTCTGCTCCGAAATCCTCTTCTAGTCGAAATCTCCCATAACTTTCGTCTTTTCTCAATCTCTTCCGTGTTTTCACATAATGCAGTGTACTCAGTGTCCACTGTGCCTTTGGGATTCAGTTGGGCTCTTCTAGCCTCTGGCTACTTTGCTGAAGGACTTTGGTTTCTCGTTGACTTCGATATTTCAATTTTTTGTTCTAAAAGTAATTGTGGTAGCAATGAAAAAAATTTCATAATCTGTTCATTTCAAGATTAATTAATGGTAACTTCCCAACGAAAATGTAGGGAACAAATCGCAGCTATCCACAAAGCAGTGATTTCTAGATCCTCATGATCCGCTCCTCTTTTTCAACATCGATCGTATTTTCAGAACGTAAAAGTCTCTATTCTGACAGTGTATAGGCGACGTTTTCAAGTATGAACGATGGCATGTCTGATATTATTCGTTTCTTGTTAGTCAATACATAATCGATTTGGCAATACATAAGACTTGCCTAAGGGCTTCTTCATGTCTAGTGTGGGTTTAGAGCGTTCTGGAAAACCCCATTTATGAATGTTGATAATTGACTTCAGTGAAAGTTGCGAAACAATCACCTAGTTCCTTTCATTTCCGTATTTGCCGAGAAATACCTCTGTATGGTTCTTTCCGTTGTCGGCCAATGTGTTGAATTCTCCTATTTAATCTTTTCCATTACTGCGACCTCCAGTTCCTCGTAAAACTGTCTGATCACTTTATCTTCAACTTATTGGGTTGGACTGTTAAGTTGGATTATTTTAATTGTTTTTCTTGACCCAATACAAAAATTTAAATAAACGAAAAAAGCAAGACACCCGAACATTAACGATAGACTGGTAATGGAAACTACTTTAAAAAAATTAAATCAACGACTGACGGCCGCAGAACGACTA